CTCCTTTCAAAATTGTTGTGAGAGTGAAAAGTAATGCATAGAAAGTGTCTGTACTCAACATAAAATACTCATATAAAATGGAAGTATTCAATATTAGTTGAACTGATACATAATATCAATAATTCACCATTTATTGAGCATTGCTATGTGCTCATCCCTATGAGCATCCCACTGTAAAAGATTAAAAGATACAGTCCCTGCCATTATGGTCCACAGAGTACCATAGGAGACAGACATGCAAAAAAAAAAAAAGATACTATAAGAAGCAATGGGAGGAAAGGAAAAGAAACACCTAAGCAAGCCTGAGGAATTCAGGAAGGCTACATAGAGTTGGTGATGCTTGAGCTAGAACTAAAGATTGAGTAGTATAATAGTTTGTTAAATAGTAAAGGGGGAAGGACAGCATGGAGGGGACCTTGCACGAAATCCCATGCAGAGGGATAATGATATGACATTACTGCTGAACCTTAAAGTATGTTTGTGAAACAGTCTTTGGAAGAAATAAAGTGAAACCAGTAGGCGGGAGTGAAATTTTGAATTACCTTTAAGTCAGGCCAAGGAGTTTTTATTTTATCCTGTATTGATGATAGTCATTGCAGAATTTTGAGCTGACGTGCATATGATGTCTTCAGGGTTTTTTGTTTGTTTTGGAGAGATTATTCTGGAAGCCATAATCTGAGGTGGATCGGGGATATTGAGACTGGAGACAAAGAGAACAGTTAGAAAGCTATTACAATATTTGAGAAGATTGATAAATGCTTGAACCAGCACAGTGGCAGGATAGATGGCAGGAGACGACTGTAGTAAAATCATCAGGACTTGTTGACTGACATGATATAGGTAATCAGGGAGAGGAATGAGTCAAAGGTGACCCTCCCCTCCCCCATTCCGACTGAGGCAGCTGGGTGGATGATGGTGTCCTTCACTGAAGTGAATCCTGGCATAAACACCTAGTAGGTCAGACTGATTTACACCTTCATTATTCCTATGGGAGGAGGTTTAGGTGTTTTTTGTTTGTTTTTTTGTAAAAACACAGAAAGCAGATCCCTGCCTTTGAGACCAGAATGTTGGTTGCTGGCCACACCATCGTCAATATTCCTGAGGATCAAGGGATTGGGGGGGGGGAATCTAGGGAGGATAAGAAACGCAAGTTTTGCCAGTGTTTTGGGGCATCCAGTGGTAACCTAGGTGAGGATTTGGATGAGTTAAGAAATCTCATGTCCAGATCAGGTTGGATTTTTCTCTTTGTGTTCTGGTGTATTTGCCACTTGGATTACAGTTTGCAGGTTTACAGTGTGAAATGAGTTGTGTTTCTGCTTTTGTGCAAGGTGGTAGCCAGGCTCCTGCGAGGGTATGGATATGGGTGGGGGTGGAGTGAGATCAAGTCTCCAGCGCCAAGAGGCCCCCTGGGGCTAAGTGAAAAGCTTGCTCTTTTGAAACAGTCTGTTGGTAATTAACAACATATCAAGCTTGCCATGGTGTCAAATAAAGGAGATTTGTAGGCACAGTGCTGTTGGTAGCTGATCTCAATCATTCACAGGAGCTATTAAATCTGTGAACATTAGCATTCTGCTAGGTAATGAGATCTAGTCCTTAGCACCTCCCAGACACAACTGATCTTTAATGATTTGGAATATCTCTCTCTCCTGGCTTCCTCCGCTCTGCTTCATCTCCTTCCGTACTGTCCTTGAAATCAATGAATGGTAATTTAGTATATCACTAGCAAGCGTCTGAATAAAAGAAGTTTGGTTTCCTCTGCGCTTCCTGTTACAACAAAAACATGTACTGCATAAATTTAACTGGCTACATTAATGTATAAGGCTTTTCTGCTAAGAGGTGGATATGTTTCTGAATAACCTGCAGAGGAGCAGAGTTTTGTGTATATGGGAGTGCTTTAAATAGCTGTTGCTCTAATACAATTGGACTGAGGCAGAAGCTACTCATTTAGAATATTGGTGAATAACAACACTGGCTTGAACAAAATGACCAGTCTCAAATGGCTACTCCTCTCTGGGTGCAGGTTGCTAGGGCTCTGGCTATCGCTGTTCCCCGCCCCCCGCCCCGCCCCCCAAAGAGGGGCGGGGAAGTTGGTGTGTTAAAGGGAAAAAAAAAATACATATATGTTGTCTGCCTCTCTAACAGAGGTAATCACCCGCGGAAAGAAATGCTGTTGAGCGGGAGGAAGGCGAAAACATAGGTGGGTTTGTGTGTGTGTGTGTGTGTGTGTGTGTGTGTGTGTGTGTGTGTGTGTGTGTGTGTGTTTTCCTCCAGTGCTGCGACGCATTAACCCTGCTGCTGTTGGGATGTTCTCTGCTCAGCCTATTGGCTGAGCCCAGGAGCCGCTGTCTGCCAATCGGGTGGTGGAAGGCAGACAAATCTACCCCGCCACAAGCAAAAACGGCGCGTAACCCTTGCGGCGCCGGCCCAGGCGCGCCAGAGCTGGCGCGGGGAAAGGGAGATAGGTGTCTCCAGCTGCTGTGGCCGTTTGGGGCGGGTCGGCTTCTTCCGCTTCTCAGGACCAGGTTGAGAACTAGCGGGTGGCAGCAATGCTCCGCAAGGTGAGAAACTGGGTAGAAATCTGCCCGGGGGCTACCCTTTTGTTCCTCTTTTGCCACCTGGGTTACGTTTGTGGGCAGATCCGCTACCCGGTCCCAGAGGAGTCACAGGAGGGGACTTTTGTGGGGAATGTCGCCCAAGATTTCCTGCTGGATACAGAGAGTCTGTCAGCTCGCAGGCTGCAGGTCGCTGGAGAGGTGAACCAAAGACACTTTCGTGTGGATTTGGACAGCGGAGCCCTGCTCATCAAGAATCCAATCGATCGAGAGGCACTGTGTGGGCTCAGTGCCAGCTGCATCGTGCCCCTGGAGTTTGTAACCGAAGGGCCTTTGGAAATGTACCGAGCGGAGGTAGAAATCGTGGATGTGAATGATCACGCCCCCCGATTTCCTCGGCAGCAGCTGGACTTGGAAATTGGGGAGGCAGCTCCTCCAGGACAGCGTTTCCCCTTGGAAAAGGCTCAGGATGCAGATGTGGGGAGCAACTCCATCAGCAGCTATAGACTAAGCTCCAATGAACACTTTGCGCTGGATGTCAAGAAGCGCAGCGACGGCAGCCTGGTCCCAGAGCTGCTCCTGGAGAAGCCTTTGGATCGGGAGAAGCAATCAGACTACCGCCTGGTTCTGACTGCTGTGGATGGAGGTAACCCCCCAAGATCTGGCACTGCAGAGCTCCGGGTGTCAGTGCTGGACGTGAACGACAACGCCCCTGCCTTCCAGCAACCCAGCTACAGGATTAGCGTTTTGGAGAGCGCACCAGCCGGCATGCTGCTCATACAGCTCAATGCCTCTGACCCGGACCTGGGGCCCAGTGGTAACGTCACCTTTTCTTTCAGTGGCCACACCCCTGATCGTGTGAGAAACCTCTTTAGCCTGCACCCCACTACTGGAAAGCTTACCCTTCAGGGGCCCCTAGACTTTGAGAATGAGAATTACTATGAATTTGATGTTCGGGCTCGTGATGGGGGTTCTCCAGCCATGGAGCAACATTGCAGCCTTCGAGTGGATCTCCTGGATGTAAATGACAATGCCCCCCACATCACAGTGACCTCAGAGCTTGGGACTCTCCCAGAGAGCGCAGAGCCTGGCACTGTGGTGGCACTCATCAGTGTGCAAGACCCCGACTCAGGGTCAAATGGAGATGTGAGCCTCCGTATTCCTGACCACTTGCCGTTTGCCCTCAAGTCTGCCTTCAGGAACCAGTTCTCCCTGGTGACTGCTGGGCCCTTGGACAGAGAGGCCAAATCCAGCTATGACATCATGGTCACTGCTTCTGATGCTGGGAACCCACCTTTGAGTACCCAGAGGACTATTTTCCTCAATATTTCAGATGTGAACGATAACCCACCCTCTTTCTTCCAGAGGTCACATGAGGTGTTTGTTCCTGAGAACAACCGCCCAGGGGACCTGCTTTGCTCCCTTGCAGCCTCTGATCCAGACTCTGGCTTGAATGCGCTTATCTCCTACTCTCTCCTAGAGCCCAGAAATCGAGATGTGTCAGCTTCCTCCTTCATCTCTCTAAACCCCCAGACGGGAGCTGTTCATGCTACTCGATCCTTTGACTATGAGCAAACACAGACACTGCAGTTTGAAGTGCAGGCCCGGGACCGGGGCAACCCACCCCTTAGTAGCACTGTGACAGTTCGTCTATTCGTGCTGGACCTCAATGACAATGCCCCAGCTGTGCTCCGCCCTAGGGCCCGGCCTGGTTCCTTGTGTCCACAAGCACTGCCTCCATCTGTGGGTGCTGGTCATCTAGTCACAAAGGTGACCGCTGTGGACTTGGATTCAGGTTACAATGCCTGGGTTTCATATCAGCTCCTGGAGGCCCCGGATCCCAGCCTGTTCGCAGTGTCTCGGTATGCTGGGGAGGTGCGGACGGCAGTTCCCATCCCAGCTGATCTCCCACCACAGAAGCTGGTCATTGTGGTAAAGGATAGTGGTACCCCACCACTCTCTACTTCTGTTACTCTACTAGTGTCCTTGGAGGAAGATGCTCATCCAGTTGTCCCTGATCTTCGAGAATCTTCAGCTCCAAGGGAAGGAGAATCCCGCCTGACCCTCTACTTGGCTGTATCTCTAGTGGCAATTTGCTTTGTCTCCTTTGGCTCATTCGTGGCATTACTCTCCAAGTGTCTGCGTGGGGCTGCCTGTGGAGTGACCTGCTTTCCTGCTGGTACCTGTGCCTGTCTCACCCGATCTCGAAGGAGGGAGGGGCTTCCTCCTTCCAACGGGATCCTCCGAATCCAGCTAGGGTCAGATGATCCTATCAAGTTTGTTGATGTGGGTGGCCACTCTCATGGCTGTACACCTTTGGCTTCTGCACCCACTCGGAGTGATAGCTTCATGATGGTGAAGTCGCCCAGTGCACCTATGGCAGGGGAGCCTGTTCGCCCAAGCTGCCCACCCTCTGATCTTCTCTATGGGCTAGAGGTGAGATCTTTGCAGGCTCAGCCAATGCTTGAGGGTTATTCCAATCCAGGCATATGGCTGGGCCATGTTCCAGAGAGTACTGGCCTCTCTGTAAGAGCCCGTAGTGATGTCACCATTTTTGTGAGTGGTAACTTTGTGGTAGATGCTGCGTTTTAGAAGTGTTTTGTGAATTAACCAGGGAGTTGTCACAGATTAGTACGCGGGTGTGGGTTATGCCCTTATCTGAGGGTAAGAAATAAAAGTAAGTGATCGAGAGCCAGGGTATTGTGGAAGCATGCTGCCAGAATGTGGGAGCATAGAAAGCTATAGTGCACGAGGATAGGGTGCACTGGTCCCCTAACTCCAGGTGGCTGCTTTCTCTACTCTTCATGAATGAAGGGGCCAGGTTCTGGACTACTTTAACACTAAGCTACCATTTCCCAGTGGATTGAGGGAAACTAATACCTTTGCCCCATGGTATCAAGTACTCCCTAACCCACTGTGAAAGGAACTCTCTTCTTGAAACACAGAAGAGAGCACAAAGAGGAAAGAGCCAAGGAAGTAGAGCAGCATCAAGGTGGAAGCAGAGATCTGTTAGTCTAGGTCTTCAGGACTCCCAGTCAAGTCCCCACTGGGATTTGGGCTAGATCAGTAGACTGGGCACAGGGGAGCATTACCTCTTAGGTTAAAAAAAAAAGGCAGTAAATGAAATCACTTAATGTCAGAAAACTGATTTGCAGATGAGGAATTCATAGAGATGGCTACTCTAGGAGTCTCTAAGTAGAGTTTTTCAGAATTGGTGAAACCATAAAGCCCAGAGGTCATGCCTCGCTTCTAGTCACCCTCCTGGGTGACCCGGATCAGTCCCAGAAATGTTCCCCCTTCCACAGACTGTGATGCTCATTCCACAGCTCAAGTCTAGAATCTCAAGAAAGCTGAGTTCTATACCATCAGCTGACATTGAGATTCCTCAAAGCATTGCTGGAAAGTCAGAGCAAGACTGTAGAAGATCCTAACAAATCTCTTCTCTCATCTTAGCAGCGTTTGGCAGGATGGGGGTGGGAGGGGGAACTCATGGGCTTCGCCTTCCCCAGAAGGACAAACTTTTGTTGGTCCAGGCAAAGTAGTGGAAGCTTCTGAAGTCATGCAGGAAGTTGCTGGATGAGAACACTGGGAAGTTTTGTACTACTTTGTCTTCCCTGTTGAGCACCATCTGAGCTGTCAAATTTTGCTGCCAAGGGGGCTGAATCAACCTGCAGCACGAAACGAGTGGGGAGGCAGGAGGCTTCTGTGACACAGATTTGCAACACCCCGTTCCTAAGGTTTCCAGGACTGAGGAGACTTCATAATTGGTTCAGAGCAGACAGACTTTTTGGCCAATCAGACTCAGAGCTGAGGTGGGGGATCTGCTCTTCCTGCCCGCCTCTCCTCCCCCAGCTCCCCAGCTCCACTCAGATTCAATTCCCCTCCCCCTGCCCACCCACCCCCGCCATTTGGTGACTAAGAAGAACTGCTGCAGGCAGACAAACCCCGGAGCAGTTTTTAAGAGGCTGGAAGGAGACACGAGATTTCAGCTGCTACATTCCAAGCTCTGGGTCTACCTTGGAGACGGTTCGGCAAAGTCAGTGTCCAGGAAGGGACTTCTGGGTCATGGGGCCCAAGACACACCCACAGCTCGCTGGGAAATGGCAAGTGCTGTGCATGTTGTCCTTGTGCTGGGGCCGGGTGTCTGGGCAGCTTCGTTACTCAGTGGTGGAGGAGTCTGAGCCAGGGACGCTGGTGGGGAATGTTGCTCAGGATCTAGGCTTAAAGATGACAGATCTGTTGAGCCGCCGACTGCGGTTGGGCTCTGAGGAGAATGGGCACTATTTTTCCCTGAGCTTCATGAGTGGTGCTCTGGCAGTAAATCAAAAGATTGACCGAGAGAGCCTGTGTGGAGCCAGCACCAGCTGCCTGCTGCCAGTGCAAGTAGTGACCGAACACCCACTGGAACTAATCCGTGTAGAGGTAGAGATCCTAGATCTCAATGACAACTCTCCTAGCTTTGCCACCCTTGAGCGAGAGATACGCATCTCAGAATCAGCCACATTTGGGGCCCGATTCCCACTGGATAGTGCCCAGGATCCAGACGTGGGCACCAATACTGTGAGTTTCTACACTCTGAGCCCCAACAACCACTTCTCTCTGAATGTGAAGACCCTAAAAGATGGGAAGCTGTTCCCAGAGCTGGTACTAGAGCAGCAGCTGGACCGTGAAACCCAGGCAAGACATCAGTTGGTACTCACTGCTGTGGATGGGGGTATCCCAGCCCTTTCAGGGACCACCCTTATCTCTGTCATTGTGCTGGACATCAATGATAATGCTCCAACCTTCCAGTCCTCAGTTCTACGTGTGGGACTCCCAGAGAATGCACCCATGGGTACACTGCTGCTCCGCCTCAATGCCACTGATCCGGACGAGGGCACCAATGGCCAAGTAAATTATTCTTTTGGAGACCATACATCTGAGGCAGTACGGAATCTCTTTGGCCTAGATCCTAGCAGTGGAGCAATCTATGTTTTGGGTCCCATAGACTTTGAGGAGTCAAGTTTCTATGAAATTCATGCAAGAGCCCGTGACCAGGGACAGCCATTCATGGAAGGCCACTGTGTGATTCAAGTGGATGTGGGGGATGCCAATGACAATGCCCCAGAGGTACTACTGGCCTCTTTGGTCAACCCTGTCCTGGAGAGCACACCAGTGGGCACAGTAGTGGGATTGTTTAACGTGCGGGACCGAGACTCAGGGAGAAATGGTGAAGTGAGCCTTGATATCTCTCCGGACCTGCCATTTCAGATTAAGCCTTCTGAGAACCATTACTCACTGCTAACCAGCCAGCCCTTGGACCGTGAGGCCACATCCCACTATATCGTGGAGCTGCTGGCCAGCGATGCAGGGTCACCTCCCCTGCACGCACATCTCACCATCAGGCTCAACATTTCAGATATTAATGACAATGCACCCTACTTCATCCAGCAGCTCTATATGGCTTACATCCCAGAGAATCGGCCTCCAGGTTCCCTTCTCTGCACTGTGACTGCCTCCGATCCAGATGCTGGGGATAATGCCCGTCTCACCTACTCCATTGTAGGGAATCAGATTCAGGGAGCCCCAGCCTCCTCCTTTGTGTATGTCAACCCTGAGGATGGGCGGGTCTTTGCCCAGCGCACCTTCGACTATGAATTGCTGCAGATGCTACAGATCACGGTGGGGGTTCGAGACTCTGGCTCTCCCCCATTGCATGCCAACACATCTCTGCATGTGTTTGTCCTGGACCAGAATGATAATGCCCCAGCGGTGCTGCACCCAAGGCCTGGCCGGGAACTCTCAGTCCCCCATCGTGTCTCTCGCTCTGTGCCTCCTGGCTCCTTGGTCACCAAGGTGACAGCCGTGGATGCTGATGCAGGCCACAATGCATGGCTCTCCTATTCACTGTTGCCACAGTCCACAGCCCCAGGGCTGTTCCTGGTGTCTGCACACACTGGTGAGGTGCGCACAGCCCGGGCCTTACTGGAGGATGACTCTGACACTCAACAGGTGGTGGTCCTAGTGAGAGACAACGGTGACCCTTCGCTCTCCTCTACAGCCACAGTGCTGCTGATTCTGGAGGATGAGGACCCTGAGGAAATGCCCAAATCCAGTGACTTCCTCACACACCCTCCTGAGCGTTCAGACCTTACCCTTTACCTCATTGTGGCTCTTGCAGCCATCAGCCTCTTGTCCTTAGTCACCTTCACCTTCCTGTCAGCTAAGTGCCTTCGGGGGCACGAAGATGGGGATGGGGGTGGGGGCCAGTGTTGCAGGCGCCAGGACTCACCCTCCCGGGACTACTATAAACAGTCCAGTCCCAACCTACAGGTTAGCTCAGATGGCACCCTCAAGTACATGGAGGTGACGCTGCGGCCCGCAGACTCGCAGAGCCATTGCTACAGGACGTGCTTTTCACCAGCCTCGGATGGCAGCGACTTTACTTTTCTAAGGCCCCTCAGCGTTCAGCAGCCCTCAGCTCTGGCGCTGGAGCCTGACTCCTTCCGGTCCCGCTCTAACACGCTGCGGGAGCGGAGCCAGGTGAGGGGCTCGCCGCGACCCCTGAGGGCAGCAATGGAGAAGCCGCCCCTGCACATACGGGACTTGGAACTTGCATTCACTCCTTTCGGGCTGGCTCAGCCGCTGGCTGCGCTCCACCCGATTGTCGGGACCATTTGGTCTGATTGCGCGGGACCAGTGGTGTGGCCGAAGCAGGGATGGGGCTCTGAGCCCGGGGAGGTGGTGGCGACTGTGGCCGAAGAGGGAGGGGATAGGACCGACCCTCCCCCACGCTCAGAAAAGGCGCGGAGATCTTGCGGGCCATCCCGGGGGTCCTCGGTGGAGGCAGTCAGAGACCCAGGCCCGGAGCCAGCCTCCTAGGCCCCGGCGCCTGTACGCTCCGCCGCTCTTTAGGTTTCCTCTTAACGTTTCTCCCCACTCCCTGGGACTTTGCGGTTATACTCAACCCTCCTTATTACCTCATCAAACAAACGCATCTGTAGGACCGAGGCGCGCGCGCAGGGCTCCCGCGTGTCCTCCCAGCAGAACACTCCCACGGGCCACACAGCACACGGCCTCGCACTTGAGCTTGCACACACACCACCTTTCACTGCCCGCGCTCGCTGCCGGGTCACACGCACGGGCTGTCCCCGCCCCCCTCACAGCTTCCCTCCACCCCGCTGCGGGCCTCAGAGGTACTCACCGCTCACTGCGCGCCCTGGTGACAGTCCCAGGTCGCGGCCGCCCGGGGGCCCGCCCCCGTCTCGGGCTGGACCAGGTCGCCTCCAGGAGGGCCTGAGGCCCGCTGCAGCCCCTGGAGCTCCGGAACTACTCTGGGCGCTCTAGGCGCGGGGCGGGAGGGACTCTATGACCCTCAGGCCGGCCAGTCCAGCTGGGCCGGGGGCTCCGAGCAGAGGGCGGCAGTGCCTTGGCCGGACGGGACGAACTGCCCTGGGGTCCGAGAGGCAGCAGGGTCCGGCCTGGGACGAGTGAGCAGGCCGCTATAGGACGGGCAGTCTGTGACCTCCGTGGCATCCACGGCCGGTTCTCTCGCGGGAAGTGGAAGCCTGGTGCACCTGGGCTCAGGAAGCGCAGAGATAGGCTTTTGGCTCCGTCGTGACCACAATGTGCCAGGCGTTCTAGGATCAGGGCTTTGGGGGTGACCAAAGTATCTGAGACTTTGGCATGTCCTTCCTTCTCTGGCCGATGGAAAGCCACACAGCCTCTGCCAGATGCCAGGGTGTCCTCATAGATGGGAAAACTAGGATAGTAAAAAGCACAAGTTGCCACAACCCCAGGAGTTTTTATTCAAAATATATCTATGCCCCACCCTGCCCCTACTGAATCAGAATTATATTTTGAAACAACACCCTCGTGTGATTCTGATAGCTGACTGAAAGTGTCTTACAACACATCTCTGAGAACCACAACATTTCATTTGCTCTTCCCGACACTTTTGTTGGATAGGTACTAGCGTCCCCACCTGAATTCCACAACTGTCAAGTGACTTGCTCAAGTTTACAGGGTAAGTGATAGAGAAAGACCTAACCCAGGTCTAACCCCAAAATTTGTACTTTCACTCACTTGACACTGGGAACTTGGAAAGCTGGGGACAGCAGGGACGGTTTGCATCTGCTGGGATGGGGCAGAGGTTCGGTTCTTTCCCTTTTAAGGTCCTAAAAAGTGGAGGAAAGTCTTCTGGGGCTTCTTATCCGTGAGCAGCCCTAAGCAAACAAACTTGGACCCGCCGTCCTTATGCAGGTTGTGAATTTTGCCCAACTCCTTTCCTCCAACCTGTTGGGGCACCTGCATCTTCATGTAGATTCTGCTGTGGCTACAAATACAGTGGCTGACTGAGAGCTGGACATCGCTGTACCCTTCCCCACAGCAGCCCTGGAATGGTGTTGGCGACTTCTGTTGCATCTGGGATGCTAAGTTTCTGGGGTCTGCTCACATCACTGCCACCTGTGAGCCTTAGAGTGAGTCGTTTGGCTGCGATGTGTCTTCCTCCTCCCCAATGTCATCAGAGATGCTCACACAGCCTTCTCTGCTGGCAGTAAGTGTGAGAATTAATTACTGGCATACCCCAGAACCAGTGAAGGGATGGCTCTAGGAGTGCTCCGTGAGAGTGTGTGGTGGGATAACACACCCTGGGAAAGGCTGGGAGGGAGTCAGGAGTGAAGTGGCTGGCCAGAGTCCTGCACCTTCATCCAGGTGGGAGAGGGCTACAGAGAGCCCTTTGGGAGCCCTGTTGGCTCTGCTTGGAGGCTGTGGGAGCTTGATCTCTGCTGGGTTCCATCCAGCAGTTTTCTCTGTCCCAGACAGTGGAGCCTTGTTCTCTCCTTAGTCACAGCCATTGTTTGGCAGAGTTCTGGGGGGTATCCTGGGGCTTGGATGCCCTGCAAAGGCCCAGTCTGGCATGGCTCCTAAATTAATAATGTATTTAGCAGTGGGAAGAGATCCTTGATTGCCAAGGGCCCGGAGGAGGTATCCCTCTGAATGTGTTACAGCACAACCTGGCACCAAAAGGGTTACCCAGAGCAGCAGCCATCTTGCTGCAGAGGATGCTTTGTTCCTAGCGGAGGAGCTGAATACATTCTTTCAAGCCTGGTGGCATTTTCATCTAAAAGCCTCTTCTGCCACTTTTGGGGGCCTTCTCTTCACCCCTCCACCAGGTTCCACGGAAGACACCTGCACACCTTGACTCTCAGCTCAGAAGTTCTCAGTCTGTGTGCAGGGAGGAAGGGGCTGTTTCTTTAGCAAAGGAATCTAGGTTTGCTTACTGTGGTCAGATAAATGTCATTTTATCTCTTTGTCTCTGGTACCTCAGACCTCTGAGACCTGAGGTATATTTTGTCTTTGAAGATGAGTCTACCACTCCCCCATCTCATCCTATTTTCTTCTCTTTGTCCACTCCCCTCCTTCCCTCCAGGCCCATCCCAGGGGTCGGGTGACATTCTGACTTCTTGAGGGTACTCAGCCCCTTTCCCTCTGTTTTCTCCACAGCAAGCCCCACCCAACACGGACTGGCGTTTCTCTCAGGCCCAGAGACCCGGCACCAGCGGGTAGGTGACTGCCTTTCCAGCCCACCCTCTTCTCTGCGGCATTTTCTCAGTGATGACGTGGGAGGAGATGGGGAGGGCTCAGCATTTGCTACAAATGGCTTCTTCCCTCAGTTCTAGATTTCAGGGAGGGTTTGGCGTATTGGGGGCTGGTACATAGACCCCAGAAGGAAGAGGCTATTTTGGGAGCTCAACTCACACCCTCACCCCTTCCCTTCTCCTCACCATGTGAACCTTTTCTTATATCCTGGGGGCTCTGTGGGACCAAAAGATGGTTTTCAGGTGGACTCTGGGTGGAGAGGAGGTTTTTTATACTTATCTATTGCCTACATCTCCCTGGTCTGGGTTGAGCTGGGCTCCCTACTGACCTGGGGTTCCGGCAGAGAAACCTGGGGCAGGAGGGGGAGAGGAGGAGCTGCCAGCAGTCAGAGCCTCCTCCAGAGCCTGCGGGAAAGAGCGGAGGCAGAGGAGGGGAGTCAGGCAGCTGTGGGGAAAGCAGAGACGCGCAGCTGGAGGTGGGGCTGAGGAGCTAGAGCTCTAGGGCAGGTCTCCCGGGTCCTGCCCCTCCTCCAGACTACCCTCTCGCCCCCACTGGTCCTGCCCTGTAGGCCTGCAGGCCTTTTGTCTCTGCCACTCTCTTATCTCTGCACTCTTTCCTCAGTCTCTGTGTCAGTTTGCCCTCTCTGCCTCTCCCTGTCTTTCTTGGTCTCTATCTCAGTTTCTGTCTTTATTGCTGACTCTCCGTCCCTATCATTTGTGTCTACTTGCGTTGGTCTGTGCCTCACACTGCGCCTGCCATGGCTAGGTGCTCAATAAATGTGGAATCAATGAATAAATGTGACTCTTCCTAGTCTCAGTCTGTTTCTCCTTTTCTCTCTGTCTCTGCCCTTGACCTCTATTCTGTCTCTCCTTCTTTTATCATTTGCTAGTGTCCTTGTGTTCTTCTGACTCCAGTCTCTTTTTTCTCAGTGTCCCACTATTTCTGCTTTCCTCTCTGTTCCCAGCCTCTCTGTGTCTCTGTCTCTCTCTCTGTGCATCTCTTGAAGCCTGTTGTCTGTTTCTTCCTGCCTCACTGAGTCTCTTTCTCTGTTTCTTTTTCTTTATCTCTCTCTCTCTGTGTCTCTCTTTTATCCTGTCTTTTACTGTCTTTCATGTCTTTGTACTTGTGGGCAAGCCAGCACACAGATGCGCCCCCACCTCTCCCCCTCCCCGTGCCCCTCACACACACAGAGCCTTTGATCAACACTTTCCAACACACTCCCCTATCCAGGCTGCCCCAGCTGCTCATTTCAATCTGGTATGAATTCCTGCTGAAACAGGAACCCCCTGTGGGTGGGGGAGGAGGGAAACTTCAGCGGAAAGACCTTTGGTTGGTTTGAGGGGAGTGGAGTGGGCTCTGAGCCAGGCCTCCCTGTTAGAAGTCAGAAGCTTGGAGGAGTCCAAGGAGCCCTGGAGAGAGAGGCGGGCAGAGCTTGGACCACCTTTGCCACCTCCACCTCCTCATTGGTCAGACACTTGCTGCCCACATTTCCCCAGATGCTACAGATGCTGAACCCTCACTGCTGCAAGAGCCCAGGAGACCTTGGTGTCTGGTGGAGACTCTAGCTCCTGGGCAGGTGCAGTTCTGTCACTGGTATCAGGATCTCAGTGCACTTCCTAAAAGGCCCCTAGAAGGCAACAAACCAGATGGCTTGGACTGCCTTTGCCCCTCCCAAAACCCCAGCTGTCTCCTTTCTCTCCACTGGCCTTGCCAGCCTTCTCATAGGTTATTCATTAGGTCATTCGTGCATTTACTTATGTATTCATTCATTCAACAAATATTTATTGAGCATCTACTATGAGCCAGTCCCTGTGCTAAACACTGGCCTATAAGAGTGAACAAACAGACATAATTTATAAACTTATAGGCTTTCATGCCAGCAGGGGAGACAGAAAACTGACGACAAATCACACATTAAAAAAAATGTCTAGTTTCAAATCATAGCAAGTTCTGAAAAGAAGAGGGTAATGTGGGTGTAAATAGGGAAGGAGATAGAGAAGCCCCCAGGAGGAAGTGACATTTGAGCTGAGGTGATAAGAAATACAGGGCAATTTGTGTCCCCTTTACTCACATCCACCCAGACCATATACTGGCCCTGAAGCAGATTCACTGCTGAACCTGAAAGCCACACCAGTTGCCTCTGATATATCTTTTGTGTTGAGTACCTTACTTTGCCTCAAGTTTCTTTTCATCAAGTGAGAGACTGAATGGCCTGAAATACATGCAGGAGCTCTTAGGGAGATGGAGAAGGCTCAGCAGCTCTCCCATCCTTAACATGAGGGGGATGGGACAAACATTTCTGATTCAGCTCCAAAGTGGCTCAGATGAAATAAGCATTAGAGACCTGGCCCGGCAACTGCAACTTCCCTCCTTCATTCATTTAATAAATAGTAAGCACCTGTAGGCCAGGTAGTGTTCTAGGTGTAGGAGATTTAAAACAGACATAGTTGGGGCTGGCCGAGTGGCTCAGTTGGTTAAGAGCTCGCTCAAGAGTTTGAGCTCTGAGCAACAGCGGTTCGATTCCCGGCCCGAGCTGAGCAGCTGCTGAGCTGCCAACCGGTGGCAGGATGGCTCAGCTTAAAAAAATAAAATAAAATAAATAAAACAGACATAGTCCCTGCCCTCAGGAGTTTACATTGTTGAGGGAGACACTATTCAAATAATCACAGAAAATAAATGTAAGATTGCAGCCACGTAAGTGCTAGAAAGAGTAGTGCCTGGGGGTGAGAGCGTAAAATAAAAATTTGACTTGGTCAGGGAGCAGGAGGACAGCCGGAAGAAAATGAGGCTGTGCTGAAGGGTGAATACAAATTAACCAGCTGAAGGAAGGAGTTAAGAGCATCCCAGGTAGAGGGGAAAACATATGCAAAGGCCCTGTGGTGAGGTCTCTGGGATCAACAGAATGACAGGGAGCTTTTCCTTTGCTGCCATTCTGATGAGTAAATTGGAGTAAGGGCATGAAGAGGGGCTATTTCTCTTAGTCTAATCCTTGCCCCAACCCTCCTCTGCTTTCCTGCCCCACTACCTCCCCATCACCTTGGCTACTGAAACACCAGGTTCAACACAGGGCTGGTGTTGAGTTCTTCAGTGAACCTCGTTCAAGTTCAAGCTAGCGCTGGGTCACATTGCCTAGACAAATGGAAAAAAGACTCAGATTCTGAAGTCCCTGATGACCAGGTGCTCCTCCTCCCCACCACTGTCCCTTCTCAGGTCACCCTTTTGGCGTCAGATTCCAACAGCTGTTGTCTCAAGCTCTGAATCCAGCAAGTCAGTGGACTGTAACCCAGGCCCTACCCTGCAGCTGTTTCCAGCCTTTGCACAGAGGAGAGAGTCCATTCGGTCTCCCCTGGTCCCCAGTCTGTTCTCTTCCATGGTACCCTCCCCCTCCCACCGCCCTCCCCTCCTCTGAGAGACACTATTCCTGCTCTCCCTAAGTTTGGACAGTCATTCAACAAACAAATAGCAAGTTATTTTTTCTGCTTATAAATTAATGCATGCTCTTTATAGAAACATGAGAAATGGAGGGAAAAAATGGAAAGAAAAAGCACCCATAATTTCACAACTCAGGGAAATCACCACTAACCTTTTTTTAATATGGACAATTTCAAATCTATACAAAAACAGAGCCTCTGTGATCCCACTATTTGGCTTCAACTAATTCTCTACCTAGTTTTACTTCTGTTTCCACCCCATACCCCCTTGAATTATTTTGAAGCCATCATATAATTTCATGTGAGTCTTCACTACCTTTAACAGACAATTCTTTTTTTAAAGCGCTAAAAATATTAATAAACTAATATATTCATAATAAATATTAACAAACTAATATAATCAAATGTCCAGTTGGTATTCACATTTTCCCAATTACATATCTGTCTATTAATCTATTTGCATGTTTATCCAAATTAAGGCCCATATTTTATATTTAGTTGAGTGTCTCAGCTCTCAATATTTTCATATGTATCTTTCTAAACCTTTTTTTGTGTGTAGTCAAGCAATATGCATAGGATTCTTCTTTTAAAAAAATCTAATTCACTTGAATAAATTGTTTATGAATTTGTTCACAGAATATTGAGAAGTTTCATTCCCAGTAAACTGGTATATTTTTCACCGTTTTTTTTTTTTTGCTTTGTAGTAATTGCAGTCATACTGCCCATTAGTATTGTAGCTTATTTTTTAATCTTTGCAAATTATTACAGAAATTTTCCCATGTTAGTAAAAAATTCTTCAAAAATCATTTAATTGTTGCATAATAGCCCCACATATGGACATATATGTATATTTTTAAGTGCTGATAGGCATTTACTACATTAAAAATATATACATGCATTTATATTTCTCACAATTAAAGCCAGGCTGTTGTCAGAAGTGACTTTCTCAGATTTCTCCTTTTTTGAGTCCGATACAGGAAGCATTTTACCAAAGCCCAGCCTCTGGGATGCCCCCACCTCACATACACATACACACCCCAATACACCAGAATACAAATTCCTTAGGGCAAGGACTATATCTGTCGTCTCTTAAATCCTAGGGCCTGTCACAGGCACTGGCACATAGTGGGTGTTTGGAAAATGGTCAATTAGATGTAGTCTCTCTCCTCCACTTTTATTTTTCATTGTTTTCCAAACCCTGGAAGAGTCCCCTATACCTGCTGCTGGGTCTCCACGGCCTCTCTGTTGAAGTTCAGCATGTCTTGTGCATAAGATTGTAGGCTTTGGAGTCACATTAAACCTATTTCAGGTTGCAGCTCTGCCAGTTACCAGCTGTGTGACTTTGGGAAAGTTTCTCAACCTCTCTGAGCCCTGATTTCATCTGCTGGGAATAGGGATAATCATAACACTCATCTGTAGGTGGTTCTGAGGCTGAAATAGAATATATATATTTCAGTCAGCTCAGTGCCCAGAAATAGGAAGCTTTCTGGAAATGGTTCAAAAAACCTCTTCCACTGCACTCATCTCCTGCCCAGCTTCCAAGAGCTGACAGCCTGCCCATATGCTTGGTCTCCAGCCTTCAATCATTTCTCTAGAATCCTCCTTACAGCACAGCCCACTGTGTTCCAGGCCTGCCCTTCTACTCACCTTTATTCCCTTAACACCACTACCCATCTCCACAGTGTTCACTCCTAACCTGTGGTATCTGACCCTGTTGTCTACCCCACAGCCCCAAAGCCCTTCTCCCGGCTGCCCCCCACCATCTGCTCTCCCCAGCCTATCCCCATTAGGCCCTTCACCTAGGACTGAGCCCTCAGAGGGGCCCAGAGTAGAGCTCCATCAGGCTGCAAGTCAGGACTTCCGGATTTTCATGGAGACAGAGAAGTCTGAGGCCCCATCCTGGGGCTTTTGCCCTCACACAGGAGCAAAAGTGACCTTTAAATACTTAAATCTTATCACAGCAACCACCTTTTAAACACCTCAGTGGGTTTCCAGAGCTCTTAGGATGAAACCAGAATCTTTAGTGTCTGCTCTGCAGCCCCAGCCCCTGACACCACCTCCCGGTGTGGCAGCCACACTGACTTTTCCCCTTAGTCCTTTGAACCCACCAAGCTTCTCCCAGCCTCAGGGCGGTTCTCCCTCTGTTGGAAAGCTCACTCCCACACTATACCTTCTCCTGGATAACTTCATTTTGCCCCTCAGTGTTTTACTTTGAAATGTTTCAAGCCTCTTGAAAAGTTGAAAGAATAGTATGATGAGCATCTGAATACTCTTTTTACCTAGATGCATCAATTGTTAGTATTTTGCACATTTGTTTTATTTCTCTTTCTACACACACACACACACACACACACACACACACACTCACTCTCATGCCTTCTGCCCTGCAGCCCCTCCCCTGTGCCAAGTCCTCATAGTGACCTAACACTCTCCACAGGCCTTTTCCTATTCACTCAGGCAACAAATATTTATTGCGGAACTTCAGTGTGCCAGACAGTGCCAAGGGTCACCTAATAGACTGTGTGTCAGGGTGCTTTTCCTTCCCCTCAAAAACAGAAATAATTAGATCCTTAAAAATCCCAAAAAAGCATGGAAATCGTCTGTGGGAAAAACCCAAGTTAGGCCAGAATCGCTTAGGGTTCTTTTACAGGTTAGCATTTTTCACAAATATGAATCATTTCATGTTTTTCTCAACACTTAGAGCACCTAAAGATCTTAATTAGGTGCCGCAGTAGGAAGCAGGCAGCCCTGCCATGCGGAGCTTGCTTGGTCTGCTGGTGGAGCAGAGGGTGCAACAGTAAACTGGGACCACCTGCTGCTGGGAGGCACCTGCCCCAGCCTGGGTGGGCTTAGGGATCCCCTCTGACAAATTGTATTCAGGTTACCAAGGCAGAGGTTGGCTGGGAACTGACACTAGAGCACAGGCTGGCTGTAAGAGAGAGCTTGAAGAATTAGGGAAGTGGCTCAGGAAAGGTTTGATGATAGCATGTTGGGGGAGGGGGTGGGCTGGGGGTGTTCTTGTAACATTAAAGGGACAGGTTTCTATGGGGATTTTATCCTGAGGGCTTAGCAAACCTCCCTGCTCCCAGGGTCTCCAGGGGCCTCCTACCCCCTCTTCTCTCAGTTCTCACCCCTTATCCTGGCTCTGACACATTCTCTCCCATTCCCCACCTTTACTCCCCTGGGGAGAGGCTCCCATCTCCCTCACTGTGATGGTAAGCACTGCTCTTTCTTGGGAGGATGTCACAGATTATAATGCTCTATCCTAAGGACCACGGTGGCTGAGATGTGTCTGACAGTAGAGAGCTGGTTTGGGGGACTGATAAATAGGGGTCTGGCTTCTGAAGGATTGTATAAACTACCTCCTACCTTGCTGAAAGGGAACGGGTCTTGGGCGTGGGGTAGGGATGCGATACTGGATCTGGGAGCGCTGGGATAGGACAGAAGGGGCAGGAGTTGGGCTGGCCTGAGAGCCTGTGCTCACCATCCCATTCTCTCTCCAGCTCCCAAAATGGCGATGAAACCGGCACCTGGCCCAATAACCAGTTTGACACAGAGATGCTGCAAGCCATGATCTTGGCCTCTGCCAGCGGTAAGTTGTGCCAGCGTATGTGTCGGGATGGGAGACCTGGGGTTCTGGGGGCATCCCATAACCACCACACCCTGAGACTGGCTATCAACCTCCATGATTTTTTCAGATCTTTCAGCTGGTTTTAGAGGATTCATAATTCTAGAACATAAAGCCAAGTTGAGGAACAGCTGAGGGATTGGGGGGCCTGGGATGCCCAGAGGGGAGTGAACGAGGAAAGATCCATTGAGATGTGGGGAGTAGTGGTTAAGAGGCTCGCTCTGGAAGGGGACAGCATCAGCCCAGTCCCAGCTCTGCCACTTACGATCTTTTTGATTTGGGTCAATTTGCTTCATCTCTCTAAACCTCAGTTTCCTTAGCCAAGAAAATAGGAGCCGCTGTGAGGATTAAATGAGATGATACCACAAAGCACAAAATGCTGTGTCTGGCACATACAAGCCCTCAGTCCATGGACACGGGCAGGGATACTCCCCGCAGAGAGCACACACTCTGGATATATGAGACCCCTTCTCTTTTTTTCCCTTTTTTAGATTTTATTGGGGAATTGGGGGAGGGGAACAGACAAGTTGCTGTCCTTTTGTTCTTCAGTCTAGTTGTGGAGGACGTCGCTTCACTGGCCCATGTTGGTATTATCATTGCGCTCTTCCTGGGTGAGGCAGTCATTCACCGGCCATTGGACGGCTGCTCACAGTGGCTCTTGGAAGCTCACGAAAGCTCACAGCAGCTGGCCGCCAGACCCACTGCAGCCTACGCCATCCCCAGCAACTCATGGCAGCCCAGCTCCAGGTCGAGCCGTTGTTCACCATCTTAGCTGTAGAGGGCGCAGCGTCACTGACCCTCATGTGGGATCTGAATGCTGGCCCTGCTGCTCAGAGCTGCACCCCAAGCCAACTCCTAACCAATGCGCCACTCGGCCGCCCAAGACCCCTTCTCTTTTTTGCTGCCCCCACCTTCAGAGCAGGATTGCGGTTTTCCCACAAGGCTAACAAAGAACTCACATGCACTAGAGCAGTGGTTCTCAACCTTCCTAATGCCGTGACCCTTTAATATAGTTCCTCATGTTATGGTGACCCCCAACCATAAAATTATTTTCGTTGCTACTCTATAACTGTAATTTTGCTACTGTTATGAATCGTAATGTAAATATCTTTTTGTTTTCCGATGGTCTTAGGCGACCCCTGTGAAAGGGTCGTTCGACCCCCAAAGGGGTCGCGACCCACAGGTTGAGAACCGCTGCCCTAGAGAGTCAGTGGATGGTTGTTATCCCTAAAGAGTCACACGTGTCCTGAGCAGGGGAAGCAGAATAATGTCACCAGTGCTTCAGAGCACAGGCTTTGGAGGCAGGCCAACATGGATTCCAATCCTGGCACCCCTGCTTTTCTGTGAGTCCTCAGACAAGTTACTAAGCCCCTCCAGGTCTCAGTTTCATTGACTGTGGAATGAGTCAATAATAACAGCTCCCACTGTGTGTTGTGAGGGCCTAATATCACAGGATTGGCAGAGGGTAAGGGCACAATATGCAGCGGCTAAACTTGATTAGTATCTTTAGTGACCCATAGGGGTGGGTTGAAGGCAGAATTAGAATAATGCCTATTAATAAGGACTGGCTTCTGGAGCAGCAAATCCTGGGCTTGTATGGCGGCCGGCGGAGGATTAAGGTAGTGGCCTTAGTAGTGAACAAAGAGCCCTGCCCTCCAGCATATCTGGTAACACCAGAAGAATAATCACCATAACCACGCCCATATCCCACCCCGGGCACATGCTAGACAAACTTTATATGGGCCTCATGTCAGGGAACCCTCTCAGCAGCTCTGCAAGGCAGGCCCGATTACTTAACATTTGACAGAGGAGAGAACTAAGAAGTCCCTTCTCCAAGGCTGCAGATGGGTGATCTCACCCGCCCGACTCCCAGGTTCATGCCCTTCCTGCTACAGTAACCAGGTCTGCCTTGAGATCCAGCCTCAGTTTCCCTTTCAGCTGAATAGGTCTAGAGGCTGAACTCTTACTGCTCTGCATCGTTGTCCCAGGTTAGGGATGCCAGATAAAACACAAGGTGCCCAGCTAAATTTGAACTTCAGATAAATAGTAAATAACATTTTAGCATAAGTCAGTCCCACGTGTTAGTATTGGGACATACTACACTAAAACACTGTTCGTCATTTACCTGAAATTCATATTTAACTGGGTGCCTTGTATTTTTATCTGCTACATCTGGCAAGCGTCCCCCAGCTGTCTGTGAGGCTGAGTGGGGCCAGGCCTGTGGCTGGTGAAGGGGACGAGGAAAGGGCGAAGTGGCAGAGGCGGCTCGCCTTCCTGGGCAGAGCTGGGCCCAGGTCTGGGAGGCTGTAATTCCAGAGAGGCCAGATGCTGAGAGTGAAAGAGGGAGGCAGCTGGTCTGGGGAGATGCCAAGTTGGGTTCTTGTGGGAAGTAAACAGACAGTCAGGTATATTTAGCTCTTGTGGCCTTGAGCCTTAAGGCCAGGAAGCAGGCTTTTTAGCCTCAATCCAGATTTTAAAAACAGAAAAGGAGTATTTATGGCCCCAAACCCTCTCAGAAGGTCCCCTGGGTCACTGTAGGCGCGCTCCCCTCTCAGGGCTCCCCGCCTCCGGCCCACACAGGGCCTGACCTGAGTGTAAGCCAGGGCCTTGGGGAAGGGACCCTGAGGGTGGAGGTGGCAGGGTCAGGCCCTTCTCTCACTTTCACACCCACTTCCCTGCCCTGGAGCCAGAGAGGTTCCTGGAGTCCAGCCCAGCCAGGGCTGTGGAGCTGCTGAGGGGGGGTAAGTAAGAGGAAGAAAGTAAGTACACTTGGGAGGCTTTTTAAATAAACATTTCAGGGAGGAGGTGTGCTCTCAAGGAGGCTGCGGTTTGCAGTTCAGCCGGCTAAGATCTAGCTTGACCAGGCGTCCCTGGGCTACTGTAGAGTTGCTGCCCTCAGCCCTGGGGTGGGGAGGGCAGGAGGCGAGGGGAGATTATGGTGCCTGGAGTTGTTGTCCCTGAAGAGAGACTGGCACAGGAGAGGAGGCCAGCACCACTCCGACCTCCTCCTGGCCAGAGGATGCCCGGGTTTCTTGGACCAAGAGAAAACCCTGGTCCCTGCCCAGTGTGGGTCTTGCGGGGGTGGAAGAAAGGGCCATAGGAGAATTGATTCTACAGAAGGTCAGAGCCCACAACCCAACTTCTCCCGCTCAGGTTTACAGATAGGGAAACTGAGGCCTGAATCATGCCTGGCTTCCAGTTTCCCAGTCAAGCCCTTCCTGTCTTTCTGCCTCATTTCTCCCCATTTCCTCCTCCTCCACTCTCTCTCTCCTCTCTACCCCCAGCCTCTGAGGCCTCCCTTCCAGCCCCTAAATCACTCTGGAATCCTGGCTCTTGAAACCGGATCTGGCCTCCCCGCCCCCCCCCCCCCAGCCCCTTCATTCCTAGGCTGGAAGAGGGAACTCGGAGGGGAGGGGGCCAGCACTCCAGGACCTGCCTCCCTCCTGGAGTCAATTAGGGGAAACAGAAATGTCAGTGGAATGAAAGGGCTGGGGGAGGGGCCGAGCCTGGGGAAGGAGAGAAGGAACTGGGTAGCTGCTCCCTCCCACCCAATCCCTCTTCCCTAGCCCCTGAAGGCCTTCCGATCCAGGGATTTGAAATGGAGGCTGTAGAAACGAGTGCTGGAGTGAGGAGGAGAGAAGACCCAGGCTTGTCTCTCCTTCTTAGGCCCCACCTTCCTCCCTCCTGTGCTGTTCTTTGAAACTATTTCCTGTCTCTCTATTTCTTAATCCCTGGTTGGTTTCCCAGGATTACTCAGCCTCTCCGGCTTTAGTCACCCTCTCTACCCACTCCCAGGGTCTGCGGTGGGGGTGGAAAGAGGGAGGCTGGGAGGAAAGCTCTTCCGCCAGCGAGGCTGGGGCTGGGCTGGGCATTCCTGGGGCTTTAACCCTCCCACTGCCTGTGGACTCCAGTACCTTCGGGAGCTCAGCCAAAGTCGCCAAAACTCTTGGCTCCTCCCCCACTTCGTGGCCCAGAATTGACACATTGGATGATGACGATGATAATAGCAGCAGCTAACATTTAGTGAGCACTTACCAAGTGCCTGGGCACTAGATGAAGCAGGGTCTCATGTAAGCCTCACAAAAGCCCACTGAGTTAGGAGGTACTTCTGTGCTGCTCTACCTTTAATGTGCCATCCACATCACCTGGAGATCTTGTTAAAGTGCAGATTCCAAGAGTCTGTGTTTCTAACAAGCTCCCAGGTGATGCTGAGCCAGGGCAAGAATTTGTACTTCTCTGGACCCCAGTGGGAAGTTGGGCAGGACGCTGTCTTTGATGTCACCTGGCTCTGACACTGTGAGCCCAGTCTACACTGTACCTAAGATATCTGGTCCTGAGACCATCATCTTCTCAGCCTCACAGAAGACAGCTCATGGCTGTCTTCTCTCCTCTTCCTTTACCCTCCTCAGAGGAGTGCTGAGGGCCATGCTGCTGCTGCTGGTGGTGACGATACCCAACACACACTTGGGCCTCACCCCTGCTCTAACCTGTGCTGGCTAGTATGGCCTTGGGCTAGTCTTTTACCTTCTCTGAGCCTTGCTTCCCTCATCTGTAAAGTGGAGATAATACTACATACTTCACTGGGTTGTTGCACTGAGGTTAGACGCCATCATGTACTGCACCATCTAGCAAAGTGCTTGGCACAGAGTGACGTCAATGGCTGTTCTAAAATAAATAAACAGAGCTACTGAATACCTACTCAGTGCCAGGCACTGGTTGGAGAAGGAAAGGAGGATGCACAAATCACGGTGGCAGGCCCCCAGGAGCCCACAGTCCAGTGTGGAAACCAGAGAGGCTCCTAGGGCAAGGATTTGAGAGCAAGTGTCTCAGCCCTGAAAGAAATAACAGCTAGCATGTTTTAAGCCCTTACTTTAAGTGAATAGGTAAAAGAGCTCGGAATCAAGCTGAGGCTGTCATTCCAGAGCCCCTTGCCTACCCCCTGTGTGCTCAGCATGGTCAGGACCAGGTGCTCTGCAGGCATCCACTAACCGCGTGTGCTGTAAGAGAGGGACTGCTGCGGACCCGAGTTTAACCCCTGACCTTTCTGTGTCTCTGCAGAAGCCGCTGATGGGAGCTCCACCCTGGGAGGGGGCGCTGGCACCATGGGCTTGAGTGCCCGCTATGGGCCCCAGTTCACCCTGCAGCATGTGCCCGACTACCGCCAGAACGTCTACATCCCTGGCAGCAATGCCACACTGACCAACGCAGCGGGCAAGCGGGATGGCAAGGCCCCAGCAGGCGGCAACGGTAACAAGAAGAAGTCGGGCAAGAAGGAGAAGAAGTAATGTGGAGGCAGGGCATGGAGCCCCAGGGCTGCTTCCCCCCCAGCCAGCCCAGCGTCTCCCTACCTGGACCCTGGCCTCACATTTCCAGGGCTCATCCCCAGGATCCTGGTCAGGGCCCAGGCCATGCGCCCCTTGGGAACCAGAAACAAGTGCCCAGTCAACACCCCCCTTTCTGCCCCCAGGGGATTGAATATGCAAAGGGAGTTCTGCTGGGAACCCCCATCCAATCACTTGCTGTGCCCATGGGGGTAGTGGGGTTAGTGTAGACATCATTTATCACACCCCCTTTAGTTATAGCTGAACTCGATCATCCAAATTCAGTCAGATCCAACTGCCTCCCCCCCTACCCATCCCACCCCACTCTACTCCTTCAACAGCTCCTCTTTCTTGTGTAAGGTGGTTGGGGTGTTGAGGTACCTGGTGACCTAAAAAGGCTCACAGTTCTGAAGAGTTGGAAGAGCATCATGACCTCTTGGTCTCTCCTTCAATTCTCCAGTTTCCCTCAAAGCATGGTTTGGTGCCAGTCCCTTCACCTCCTTCCAGAGCCAGAGACCAAGCTCAAGTTTTGGGAGATAGGGTCACCGTTCCCTTGGTACTGATGCTTGCTGGATTTAGGGAGGGCATTTTGCTACCATGCCTCTTCCCAATGCCCTAGGGACCAGTTTTTTGTTTCGTTTTGTTTTTCATTGTTTGATGTTACCACTGCATGCTGTGACTTACTCCTCCCCAAACAAGAGACTCCGTTGCATGTTCCAAGACAGTATGGGATAGTAAGATAAAGAAGGGAAGGGTGTGTATGTGGATGGGGGATGGACAAAGCTCGACCCATCAGTAAACAGGGTCTTACAAGAGGCTTTGTATGACTTCAGGGTACTGACCAGATCCCCAAATTCCAGCCATAAACCAATCACCAGGCTGGACCCTCATTCACCCACCAAATATAGGGCTCTGCCCAGGCAGCCAGCTCTAGGCTGAGCTGCCAGCACCAATGGATTTAAACTGGCATTACAGTCCAAGGAAGCTCTGAGCAGGTTTGGGACCAGGTCCCCAGGAGAGATAAGGGGGGCCTCTGTGGGTGCTGGGTACTCCACAGGTGCCACTGGTGGAAGGATCAGTGTGACCCCCACTCACCCCAGCAGGAAGGGAGGGCCAGCTAGGCCATTCTTAGCCCTGGGTTGGGGAGGCAAGGCGCTAGAGCAGAAACCAAGTGGACAGAAATTCTCAGCCCTGAATCAGGCTTCTCCAGAGAGCCCCTGCATTCCCCAAGGCTCGGTCCTTCACCTTTCCAGGTGCCATTTCTTCTCTGTGGCCACTGCCCAGGCCCCCAGTCCGCCCCCTAGTGGCCAGAGCCTGGTTAAAGTCCCCAGTGCCTCCTTGTGTATAAACCTTCCTCTGCCCACCCACTTCTGCCCCCGGAGTCCCGCGTTACGCGGGGCTACGTGAGAACCCCACCCCCCAGTCCTTACAGTAGTGTAGAGCCTCCCTCCCTTTCTCGGCTGGTTTAGAATAGCCAATAGTGTAGTGTGGTGTGCTTTTCCGTGATGGCGAGTGGGCAGCGGGCGGCGGGCTCCGCGCAGCCGTCTGTCCTTGAATCTGCCTGCGGCGGCCGGTGCTGTGTTTTGTGCTGTGTCCACGCGCTGCGGCGACCCCCTCCCCGGTACTGACTCTTATAAGCGCTTCTCTTTGCATAGTCACGTAGCTTCCCACCCCCTTCCTGTGTCTCACGCAAGTTTTATACTCTAATATTTATATGGCTTTTTTTCTTTGAAAAAATAAAATAAAAATGTTTCTTCTGAAAGATTGAATGTTTCTGTGTTAGAGATGGCGGCTCCTGGCACGTGTGGATGAAGTGATGAGCTGAGAGGTACATGCTGGAAGAGCGGAATCGGGAGGCGAGTGTGGTGTCTTCGTTTTGTGTCATTCTTTGAGTCTGTATGACCGTCAGATATGGCTATGTATGCTTTCAACACCGTTGTGCATATGTAATAGTGTGCGATTGACTGTGCTGGTGGGACTGTATACCGTTTGTGTAATTGGCTTGCGAGTGCGTTGTGGGGGAGGGGATTTCTGAGCGCGGCGTGTCAATGTGCAATTGAGTGCTTGCGGCTGTCTCCGTTGCGGTTCTAAGCGCCAGTATCCAGGCAGAAGAGGAGACCCCGGCGCGGGGGCGGAAGCGGGTTGGCGCCCGGCAAACAGCGCTACAGAGGGGGCGGAGGATGTCTCCTTAATGCCCACCCCTTCCCTGCTGAAATTACCACTCCCGAGCGCCCCTGCAGGCTTCGTGGGAGGAGGGGGGCTCTCCTTTGCCCGCTCTTTTCTACCTCCGCTGCCATTGGGGTTTGGGAACACCGCGGGAGTGGGGGTGGGGGTGGAGGTAACGCAGAGGGCGATTCCCCGAAGGCCGGGTCTGTAGCTTGGGGCTCAGTTTCCCCATCTGGAATTCACCTTCCCGCTCGCCTCTCCGCAGCAAAACAAAGGAAATTGGAGGGCTCATCGTTTTCTTGTCCGGGGGTGGATGAGAGTGGTAAAGGGGACTGAAAGGGCAAGCAGGAAATTAGATTGTCCGCAGACCCAGATCGCCCTCCCTCCTTTCTCTCCCTCTCCGTGCTTTTCCATTCACTTGTCGGCTCGCCCATCTCCCCGCCTCCTCTGCCTGCCTTCTCGAAGTACAGTGGGATTCCGAGGTTTGCGGCAGCCAGAGAAGCTGCAAAAAACACAGAGGGGGAGGGAAGACCCGGAGGGGCGGAAGGACAGAAAGGCAGACCCACTGGGGTTATCGGGGGTGGACAGCGAGGGTTTGCCCAACCACAGGGCTGGAGGAGGCTGTCTCTGGGCTGCTTCTGCGAGGAACGTCTCAGAGCCGGGTCACGCGTTCCGCCCGCTCCTTGTCTGTTGTTATGGAAACCAAGCCTTCCAGCTAAGCATCTGGGGGCGACTTTCCTGCGTGGGAGGGAGGGTGGTGTGCGCGGTTGCTGAGATGGAAGCGGGGTTTTGTTTCTGAGAGCCAGGCTGCAGAGGGCGGGGACCCCGGCGCCTGGGTTCTATTCCAGGCACTGGCAGAGCCTGAGCAGCTGTGGTTGGTCCCCTAATTGGTATGTGTGCCTATAAAGCGCTGAGCCAGAAACGCGTGGCCTCTGAGGGGAGAGAGGAAGCAGGCAGCCCACCCCCACATCCCCAGCCATGCTGGTGAGGCAGCTGCCCAGGCTCCAGCGCTATTTAAAAGGCTTTTATTTCCAGCTCCAGAGCCTGCCCAATTGGGTTTGTGGTCCTCTCCAGGCCTCTCCCTGCCTGTTCTGGGCCTGCTCATAGCTTGTAGGTTTCTTTGTGCAGGTCATAATGAACTCCAACAAGTATGACTCTGAGCAGCAAGTCATCTGGAGCATGACCTCTGGCTTCTGACCTCTGCTGGGCAGGCTCCGGTTTCCACCCAAGTGTAAGCCCCTCTAGTCTGGAATGTGGTGGTGGGAACGGGGGATGAGTCAGATGTTTCCCTCAGCAAAAGAGGCACAGGTACTGCCAGGAAATTGACATCTGGGAGTGTGGGGAGGTGGGAGCTAGAACTGAGTTTAAGAAAAGGGTTCCAAGCCAAGAGGCAGCAGTGAGGAAGGGCAGAGGGACTGAACTGGGGCTCTACTCCTTCCTTTATGGAGGGTATATGGTGGGGCAGAAGCCACCATGTATTAATCATCTCGAGGCCTGCGTCCAGTCATAGTGTCTGGCACATGATTGGCACCTTCAACTTTTCTGACAGTGTTTTGTCAGGTCAACCAGGGATTTTGCCACAGGAGAAGATGGAGGGGCCTGGATGAGAGTGAAAATAAAACAGAAACTCACACAGGAGGCTGTAAGGCAGTACTGTTTCAATGCTTTATTAACAGTTGGAAACGAACCCAACAAACTGGAGGTGATGACATCCCAGAAGCCCAAGAGGCGAGAGAGAGGTTTGCATTTTGTCCCTTTTTTTCCCCCTTTTTTTTATTAAATGCATCTTAGCAAAAGTAGATAAAAAAAGAAAGGGTCAAAGCCCCAGATGTCAGCAGGGAGAGGGAGGGGACCCAGGGAGTAGCAGGCCCCTCACACCAGTCTTTCCAGGAATAGCTCAAAGGAACTGCTGCTGTCCCTTCACACACAGGCTCTAGTAGCCAGAACCCTTCTTTCTGGCCTCATCAAGGCCCTTAGGTCTCTTCTAAGTTCCCCCTTGCTCTAACAACCATGGTTCTGGGCCAAACCCTAACAGTGCCATTCTCTCTCCCTACCTGGGTGTGGGACGATGAAGGGGGCACAAGGAGGGCAAAGTGTCACCTTGAGCCAGAGTCTGAGCTTCCTGTGGCTTGGACCACGAACAGTTTGGCCTGCCCACTGTTCAGAAGAGAGCAAGGGTCCAATGTGTGGGGGCACTCCCTGTGCCCACTTCCCCAGTGTCCAGTTAGCATCTGTACATTTGGCTTGATAAATATATTAAATTTATAAAAACTCTGTGGTCTCAGAGCTCCCACTACTCTTAGGCCTGGTTCGGCTCAACCAGAGAAGAGCTTCCTCCTGCCCCAGAACTGGATGCTGGAGAGAGAATCGGCATTGGCCTCAAGGGCCCAGAAGGCCTGAGGGCTGAGGTGGAGGTCCAGGATGGAGGCCTGTGGGGAGAAATCCCAGGACTCGGAACCTGCCATCAAAGCCTCTTGTATTATGGAGGGGAAAGGGGGAAGGAAGAGTTATTTTTCTTTAAAAAAAAAAAAATCTCATACAAAAATAGATCCATTTGCAAAACAATTTCTCAGCCAGGAGGCTCCACCTCCCATTTCCTTGGAGACAGAGGGTGAGGTGCTGGGACGGTCACAGTACAGCCCATACTCCAGATGAGATGCACCAGAGCTCCGGGAGGGCCACGAGGAGGGGCCATGGCTCAAGAGCCTGGGGCTGCTGCAGAGGGCCCAGAGAGGCAAGGGCATAAGCAGGGCCGCAGGCGTGGGCAGGTCCCACAATGTCTCTATGCCCTGCCTGCCTGCCCACAGGCTCTGGCCTAGGCCACAGTGGAACAGACAAGCGTGGTTCGGGTCCTTTTTTTTTGTTTTGGGAGGAGGTCTTTCTCAGGAAGGTGGAGTAAGGGTGGGATTTACTCCTCACTTTCTCAGAAGCCGCTCCCAATGCCACACCACTAATAAATAACAATAGCCAAGAGAAGAAAGAGCAGAGCAGAGGTGACAGCAATGAAAGGAGGGATAGAGCTCAAAGGTTCACAAGCCCCATGCTCTTCTCAGGGCCAGAGAAACCACAAAAGAAACGCACAAACCCAGCAAGACTGTTCCTATGGGAAACGCACTAGAAAGTCAGGGGCTGAGAAAGCAGGCGGGGCCTTGTCTGAGACAGGCCTCAGGGTAACAGAGAGGAGACACTTGGGGTTAAGGCAGCAAACACGGGGCCTGCTTTGGTTATGCAACAGCCGGGGTGGCCGGGTTGAGCTCAGGCCTCCTCACACTGCCCTTTCCTTCTGGCCTCCAGGTAGCTGAAGCTGTGAGTGATGGACAGAGAGCAGCAGGCCAGAGAGAAAGACGGCCAGGGTGGAGGGAGCGGCCACCCCACAGGAACATCTCCACGGCCCTTTAGGCACATGCTGCAGGGCAGGACAGTCTGGGGCTCCACTGAGGAACTGCGTGGCCACAGGGCCCAGCTTAGCTTGCTCGGCCAACCAACTCCTTGGTTTCCTCCAGGATTGTGGGGACTCCCTCATTGATCTTGGGCACCTTGGAGGCAACAGCAGTCATGGCATCGTCCTTGGTCAGCTCCGAGGCTAGCAGAGATGTGACTGCACACCCGGCCTTCCTATTGGCTGCAAGAGAAGACATATGCGATCACGTCCATGGAAGGACTGGCTTCTAAGCCCTTTCAAACTCTAGGGCAGACATTCAGCCAGAAGCCATGCAAGTGTGGCTGCTCTGTCCGGTTCACAGAGGCCCTTATTTTGAAGGAGGGGCAGAGATCCAAGAAGATGTGAAAGACACCCTTGAGGGGGCGGGGGTGCAGAGAATAGAAGAGAGTATGGTGCAGGCAGGAGAATGAGCTGTGCTCTTGCTTTCCTGTGTGAAAATAGTCTAAAGGTTTGAATATAGCTAGACAGACAGAACAGGGTTCATGTGTTAGCTATGTAACAGAGAGGAAGTACTGAAAATTGGTTTTCTCATTGTAATGTTTTGGAATTAAATAGTTCAAGCTTGGTAAACAGTATTATTTTTGTTTTCTTGGCAGTTCCTAGGAAGCTCCTTGGCCAAAACCACTTTCAGTCAGCCCTGGGAGGCTGTCCCCAACAGAGGAAGGCCTTCAGCAGGCCGCCGGAGGACTTGGGCAGAGGAGCCGCGGCCACACACTGATATCACATGCCTGTCACATTTGCATGTGTTCCACTAGCCCCCTCGCTCCCCAGATGCCCACATGCCCAGCTTTCTCCCACCTCCTCAAGGGCAGCAGCTGCGATTCAATGCCAAGGGCCCTACACACTGTGTATGTGTGTCGGGGGGGAGGGGTCATGGGTAATGAAAGGTAGGTCGGAGAAGGCAGAGCTGGGGTCAGGGATGGCCAGGAGAGGCCCCCACGAGGAAATCTCAGCCCAGCGGGCTTATGGGATTGTGAAGCTCCAGCTGTCATCCGAAACAGGAATAGAAGAACCAATCAATCCATGAGTTTCTGTTCTAACTGCTGGGAGCCACCCCCGAGACTCTCATATTCATTAATGGAATCCAGATTTATGGCCCCAGCATCCTCAACAAGAAGGCAGTTCCTTGGGACCATGCCCATCTCATGCTGTCTGCTTCTTCCCGTGCCCTCCTTGGAAGCAGCATGGAGAGACCGCATGTACACAGATTTGGCTGCCTGGGGTGAAAGAAGCCAGACACAAAAGACCACATATGCTATAATTCCATTTCTATGAAATGTCTAAAATGGGCAAATCCAGAGAGACAGAAAGTAGATTAGCAGTTGCCAGGGGTCTGGGGCAGGCGGGAATGGGAAGAGACTGCTAATGGTATGGGGTTTCCTTTTGGGATGATGAAAATGTTCTGGAATTAGATAGTGGTGATGGGTGCACAACCTTGTGAACATACTAAAAAACACTGAATGATACACTTTAAAAGGGTGAATTTTACGCAAAAAAATCTAGCTTGCTGCATCATGAGAAAGCTGAGTGGAGAAAGCAGTGCCTAAGCCTTAAAGGAGCAGTGCCCTAGCTCTCCTCCATGCAGACTGCAGGACGCGGGCAGCTGCGGGACGGGATCATGCAGGACGAGGTCCAGGGGAGCTGGTGAACAGAGCCCCCCGAGCCTCCGCCTTCTCTAGACCAGCCCAAAACTTTAGAAGGGGTGGGAGCCAAACAGGGTCAGAGGGCCCCAGTCGTCCCCAGGGCTGTTAGCTTCTCTGCAAAAACATGACCCAGGGCCACTGCATTCACACGGCTAAGCCTACCTGTAGGTCAGCAGGGGCACACAGATGCCTACAGGTTACCAACTAACTTACAGGCCGCCTCCTCCTCCCAGAGGCCCAAGGGATTGTCTAACAGGACACAAGAGGAGAACGAACAGTGAAGGCCCTGACTGACAGATATGAGGCCCACCTGATTCCAGGTGGAAGGTGCGTGACCTAGACTCTGGGGCTGTCACATGACCCACAGCCTCGGTGACTGACCGCTGGAGGGGAACAGCAGCGCACTGGGGTGTAACTAGGATGTATATACACTTGTACACACATGTATACACGTCTCCTGTCTTCCTTCTTAGTCTCCCCAGCACATTCTTCCTCAGACCCACTTAGTTTCTACTTTTTTCTGAAATACTTCCTTCTCTAGTCCCTACTTCTCATGTCCGGAAAGACAGTGCTAATATCCCTTTATTGCTCTTTTGAATTCAGTCTCTGGCAGTTAAAAAAATTCTACGTGTGTGTGTGTGCGCGCGCGCGTGTGTGTGCACGCGCGTGTACATTGAAATAATTTCTGACTCCAGACCCCGGGAAAAAGAACACTGGGCCTCTGCGCCTTCGGGGACACTTGTCCTGGGGGAGGTCAGAGTTCAAACGTGGCACATCTTAAGCTGTTTCTCTCTTTGGTTTCTTCCTCTAGACTCAGAAGATACCAGTTGTACCTAATCAAGCAGTGTTTCTAGATTTTTCTAGATTAAAAAAGCTTCTGATGCATTACAGATTTCATAAAAATTGGGAGTCTATGGTAGGTGGGGAGAAGACCAAAACTTCCCTTTTAAGCCTAGAACGTAGGTATACTAGGGATGGAAACGGCGTGGTCTAAGGGCAGCATCAGAAATGAGAAACTCTTGGGCTGGCCAAGTGGCGCGATGGTTAAGAACTGGCTTGGGACGCCAGAGGGCCCCGGTTCGGATCCCACATATGAGGGCCAGTGACACTGCCCTCTACAGCTAAGATGCTGAACAACAGCTCAACCTGGAGCTGGGCTGCCCTGAGTCGCCGGCAACGGGCGTAGGCTGCAGTCCCTGCTGCAGTGGGTTGCCATGGGCTACCGTGTGTAGCCAGCAGCCAGCGTGAGCGGCCAGCAGCCGCCGTGAGCAGCCGTCCAGAAGCCGGCGACTGATCTGCCTTGCCCAGGAAGAGCGCAATGATGGTGCCAACTTGGGCCAGTGAAGCAACGTCCTCCACAACTAGACTGAAGAACAAAACGACAGCAACTTGTCTGTTCCCCTTCCCCCAATTCCCCAGCACTGTTCCCATCCCCCCAATTCCCCAATTAAAAAAAAAATCTTAAAAAAAAAAAAAAAAAGAAATGAGAAACTCTTGTCAGAACTGGGAACAGGATCAAGGAACCCGGCTTCCACTCTGTCTTCAGAGCCACTATGATGCTGAATAGTTGGAACAATCCAGAAAAACTGCCCCTTACCCCTCCTCTCCCTAGCTTCAGTACTTGTTAAGACTATTGAAAAGTAGCCACAAGCAGCAGATACATATTTTGACTATCTGGGATCACAGAGGATTATTAACTCCTAAGAGAACAGTCCCACAGATTATGGGGAAAAGGGAACAACCCTGAGACACTGGTCAAAGCTCTCCAAGAAGTCAGGGGCGGGCTAGGGTAAAAACGCCAGCAAAACCAACCAAATAACACCAGTAGAGGCGAATTAGAAAAAGGTTAATGGTTTGGAAAAAGACGTTTATAAAATGCAATCTAGGAACTACTACTAAAGAGGAAGTGTTCTTGTTAATAAGCTTCCTTAGGGAAGAGGAAACTAGGACAGATGGGGCAATCATTACCATCCTAAAGAACTCATTATTGTCTAAAACTCTGCTAATTATAATTCCTGTCCTATTTTTACAAAAGTGGAGGGAGAATAACTGGTGGTATAGGAAATACTCTTAACCTTCTACAGACAGGTGGTCATCAGAAAGCTCCCTGAGGCAATTTTTCCATGTCCAGGGCTCTCCTGGCTGGAAGGTATGAAAGAGTATTTCTGGCCTACACAGAAGAGTCACTCATCTCCTGTCCAATCATGTACACTTACTGGAAATAGCAGTGGACTTGGCTTTGCACGCGTGGGCTACAGTTCTGGCTCTACCATTAGCCAGCTCTATGGACCTGGGCAAGGCCTTACCTGGGTCTTATTACCTGTGAGGTGGTGAGATGCTAATCACTAGAAGGCTTTAGAGTGTTTCGCAACTCTAAGGTTCTATTAGTGTAGGTGGAAGCTTCAGGGAAGCTGGGAAGTGGCAAAGGAAAGGAAAGGGAGAGAGGCATGAATTTCTTTCTTCCCTTGACTTTTATCCCAGTGAGCAGATGGCCTGTATGTAAGAGGCCACAATTCAGACATGGAGATAAAGTTGAGTCATTAAAACCACAAGCAGACTCAATCATCGGCCTGAAATAGTAGCAGTAATACAATCACATGGATTCTTCCCCTTGACACTCAAACCATTGTTCTCCCACACCATGCAGATCACAGCAGTTTACACGTCACTTTTAATGAACCAGCCCTGATAGTAACTTTCCTCTTCCAACTGCTCAATGGGTCTTTGTATACTGGTCACTCCCGCAGGTCTCCAGAGACAGAAGATTTTTTTTAACATTTCTTTAAATCCTAGGGAAGGCTAGTGTCTTTGAATAGGGACAGCTGCCTCTCTCAGACTGAGAAGGGCTGAGAGGCAGATCTGCTTGATAGGGCTTCAGCTTTCTGCCTCAAAGCAATGGGCCAGGAGAACAGTTAGAGGCAGCCAAGCAACCAGCTAAATCCAGTAGCCACCGAGGGAAACCCATAGCCATCAGAGCCTTTATAGTTTAAGAATCGGGTCATCTGGGTCCAGCCTGTTTCTTTTCTTCTCCTCTTAATCCTATTGTCATTGTATTAAAAAATATTAAAGCTGGAAAGGACCCTAGAGGCCATTCTAGTCCAACTCTCATTTTATACATGAAGAAATTGAGTCCCAGAAACTTGTCTAAGGTAACCCAGACAGCATCAGCGTTAGACTTGACTTTGGGTCTTCTGATCTCTACCTAGTCCTATGCTCTTTGTACTCTACTTCGATGCCTAGCCTTGTATTGACATTTAACGTAAGGCCACATCACTTTATACTATGTGAATGCACCCAGGTCTAATTACCAGAGTAACTAGAAATGTCTCCCCTGAGAGATTCTCCCAGATATGTTGAGGTGTGTTTGGTGAATCCAGAGCCCCAAAAGATGAAGTTACAGGATGAACCAATTAAAAAGGTATGCAGTTCTCATATTCACCTTATTTTTGCTTCAGTATCTCCTAGGGAACAGTACTTTGACTAATTCAGGTCCTCTGCTGAAAAGTTAGGTCCCAACAGCATCCCCGCTTCCTCTGCCTTGCAATCCTGCTTTCCCAGTCGGGAAGAAGTGGAGACGGGGCCTCCCCTACACAGGGAAGCCATGGTGTCTGGCTGCCTGTGTACAGGAAGCATCTGGGATTCCAGCATACTTCCACAGGAAGAGCCTTAGAAGGGAATTCCCCACCAAAAGTCTGAGAGGACAGAGGAAAACAGTGAGATGCAATGTGCTTTCGTTTGGCTAGGAATGCCGGATGTAAGGCCACAGCACCTTATATGGTGGGTGGGAAACAATGCCGCAGAACCTCTAAAGACTGAACACAAAAGAAATACTACCAGCTGCATTCTCTACCCAAACACAGATCTATAAGACTCAAGACTGTCCCAGGAAGCTCCACCATCACCATACCCACCTCTCCTCCCCTGCAGAGAGCCTGTTGTACTCAGAGGATGCTGGACCAAGGCTAAGAGCTGTAACCAGAGATTCTGTGTAGGGAAGGCTCTGAAGTCACACACAAGCGGAAATTCCCTGCAGAAGGGAATTTCCTTCGGGGTACTGTGAGTAAGGGTAGAAACAGGCAGTTGGCCATTACAGATGGAATGCACAGTGACCTACAACATTTGGGCCAGGACACCGAGTTTATGTGAGCCAGCATGCTATCTACACCCTTGGCTCTCAGGTCCCCTTTCCAGGCTGTGGCAGGTACCAGAAGCCCTACAGACACCACTGTGAATAGCTAAGCTCTGGCCAAAGCAACTGCACAACTGCTCCCCTTTACAATAACCTTAAAGCTCATATCAAACAGGCCTACAAATGCGCCACAGCTCCAACTCCCTCGGAAGCAGGACCCTTAGCGATCTCTTTTCTGTACTTCCCACCCCTCAGCCTAGGAAAGAGGCCATTTTCTAGCCCCAATGGAACTTCACTGACACAGCGGTGCAGGTCAACATGAGAGGTAGCCTTGGCTATACCTTCTTTTGGACTAGTCTGTAGGTCACTACACTTCCTTCAAAAGAAACTTATCCGCTGATCCTTCCTCATACTAATGCCTGGATCATTTGTCCTCCTATCCCCATAATTCTTAGAGGCTCCAGCTCCACATAATCCATTTAAATTTTTTGACGGTTGGGAGAGGAGGTTGCAGGGCAGTAAACAGGGAAGGCAAGGGCAGTGGGGGCTGACTGCACCCAACCATACGGGAGTTCTCACACATAGCAGTCCTGCCATTGAGATGCTCCTCTGTAGCTGGGGAAAATGATGCCTAATCTTCTTCTCTATAGGATTTTATATTTTCTATTACTCTCTATCTCTTCTGCTTGTGAAGCTGAGAGTAATTTGACTTATTTTTTCTATTTCCTACATCTAATGTACTTGCTTTTTGATCAATTTTTGTTCATACACTCAAATGGTTTGCTTGTTCCAGGTTTCTGCTTCAAGGATAGGGAGAAATGCAAGAATAATCAAATGTAGCTGACTGCTGCCAGTCCCTGAAGCCCTAGTTCTCCTAGTTAGTACTTTCTAACATGGGAGGAGGAAGACTAGACAATCCACTCTCGAGGCAGGTACTATTGTGGTGAAATTTCTAAACCCTTAGAGCATCGTTGACCAGCTCTTCGACCCAAGAGAAGCAGGACCAGGAGCAGAGAAGCCTCACCGCCTTCAACATGGGGAAGGCTCCATTTGCTTACTTACCCTGACGGGGTCCTCTCTTTCGTCGGAATGCTGCACCTGACTGCAGAGCCTCTAGAAGACTGTCCATCACACCTGTTTCGTCACCTTCTGTCATGAACAAAGATGGAGATGTAAGCTCTTCAGGCCGAGCAGCACGCATGTGTTGAATCCCACAAAAACGCATGGCGACTGCTTGGCTTTCCCTCACCCAGGTGGCCGGGGGCTCAGAGCAGACAGAGGGCTCAGCCTCAAGCCTTAGTTAGCCCATGTTTACTTGTGTTTGTTTGAAAATGGTTAAAACAAAAGGTTTCACTGCAAACCTTGGGATATTTTCCCACAGTGACCTCCTTCCCATCAAATCAGGACAGCACAGAGCACTGCAGGACCACCCAACTCCAATACCCAGATCAGTACAGACTGGGATTATGACATTAATAAGGAACTATATCACTCTCTCTTTATCCTGAAGTGTTTCACTCCAATTTACATACATCTTTCGTGGATAGCCTGGTTCCAGTTTCAGAGCAGGGCTGAGGAAAGATGCGAGACCACTGATCAAGGGTACATTTCATGAAAGTACTGCCCCCAGTGGCTGCATCTCCTCGAAGCCAGCAAGGCATCTGAGAGGAGCTTCCAGACTGAATACAAAGAGTTAATATAGAATCCTTTTTCCAGCCTGGCTCTGTTTCCATGGCAACAGTGCAGGGAGGTGAAATCTGAAACTATGAAATCCCAAGGAGCCTGGAGGCAGCTAGCTACAAGGCTGGGTTCACTGCTCCCAGCGCCACCTGCTGGCTCAACATCACCAGTGCAACTGACCTACATTCCAACCTCATTTGCTTGCCCTGGGGACCCTGGGCCAGGCAGGGTGAGGTGGCTGGGCTTCCTGATGATGAGGTACAGCCCTCATCCCACATGTTAGCTGGACTCTACCTTTCTCTAGTGCTTCCTGGACAGTACCTGGGGGCAAACCACAGAGGCCTGGGGAGAATGGGTGAAGGTGAAGGATACTTGGTGTGGGCTTTCATAGCATTATTAGAACAAAATTTGTGGCTTATGTACAAATGAGCTAAGAGCAGGGAATTGCTCTTAGAAGATAGAAACGTAGGCTGTTCCTGCTGCTTCAGCCCCCTGATCTTACCACAACAGGAGCTGCCAAAGAAAGTCCCTGGGAGCAAGAAGTGTTAGAGCAGCCCTTGCCTCTTGTGCTCAGCAAAGCACTGATTCTTGCCACACCCAGCAGCCCTGGGGAACCACTTCACTTAGATGGCTCGTAGTTTCTCAAGTTCAAGAAGGGTGGCATGAACTCAGTGCCGCGCACACTGTATGCTCTATTTCCCCTGGAGCAGCCAGAGGGGGGCAGGGAATCGGCAGCAGGAAAGAAGCAGAGACAGGAAACAGAGGGCCAGTAATTGAGGCCATATGTTTCAACAAAGACACGCTTCTGGTAGTAAAATAGAGATTCTGCTGAAGAAAGAAGAGGGTAGCTAGCTCCCCTGCCCCTTTCCAGAAGTTCAATTCATTTACAATCTGATAGGTGTGTACGACTGTGCTGTGAGGTACTGGGGACACAGTACCTAGTGAAATAAGCAGAAAGGGAGGGCAAGCCACCATTAAAAGACAGGAGCAGGACTAGGAAAACATTTTTGGGAAAAGAACAAAAGATTTAGTAGAGGGTACAAACACAGGCCGGAGGCACTTGGGACAGGCAGAAGGCAAGAGTATGTGTTGCAGCAATCCTCGAATCACTAGGGAGATGAGACATAGTGCAGGAACCAGCCGAGGAGACAAGAGGACTTGCGCAGAGATCTGGCCTGTGCATGTCACCAAGCTGGGGCTAAAGTCCAGCCTCAGGAGAGGAACTCAGACATGAGCTGTTCTCTCTGGCCTCTAGATTCCAGACACAGGAGCCTTCCAAATGTGCCTGTGCCGCCCCGTCAGTGCTTCCCCGCCACTGCTTACCCGCATTCATGTCTATGAGTTGCTCTCTCTTCTGCTGCTTCTCCAGCCGTTCTTTCTCTGCCTTCTCCTTGGCCAGCTTTGCTCGCCGCATCTTTTCCTCTGTCTCCCGCCGCTTCTGGTTTTCCTTGACTGCTTGCTGTGGGGAGAAAAACACAACACGTGGGCATGTACACATTCACACCTATGCACACCTACCACCAACCAACATGAACTCAGTGGGAAGTGAAAAATGTCCACAAGAGAGTCAGTCAGCAGGTATCCCCTGCTCACCACAAACATTGTCTTAAAGTTGTGCAGATCCATGAAGAATTCTTCCACAGACAGCTTCTTGGGGTCAAAGAGGAAGTACTCGCCCAGCTCCTTATAGAGGGTCTCCATGTTAGAGTGCATCATCCGCAGCTTGTTATACTGCTCCTGTGCATCCTTCACAAAGCTGTGCAACCAAGGAGTAAAGGACCAATGCCAAGAAGCAGACCCGCTTCTCCACCCACAGGAGGACTCAAAGGTGCATGCTGGGATGCATGAGGGTGTTCAATACAGCACTGTTTATAAAAGCAAAAGCCAGAAGCAATCTAAATATCCAAACCAGGGGAATGGTAAACCATAAACTATGGTACACCTATAGGAAGGGAGGTGGCAATTAAAAAAGAGGATGTTCAGCATATACTGCTGTAGAAACAGGGCTAGGATATTATGGGCAAAAAGCAACACAATGCAATGTTTGTTTAAAATAAATTCATCAGGTGCAAATCAGAAAGAAGCCCAGTGGCAGTGGTTACCTTTGGGAAAGGAAGAGAGGGAGGGAATGTGTGTGTGTAGAGACGGAGCAGAGAGTACAGGATCAAGGTGACCTTTAGGTGATCTGCTTCCCATCATAACAATGAGGGTACATTCAAGGGATATGTATTTAGGGGCAGCCAGTTAGTCCAGTTGGTTAGAGTGTAGTGCTCATAACGCCATGGTTGCCGGTTCAATCCCCACATGGGCCACTGAGTTGCGCCCTCCACAACTCGATTGAAACAACTACTTGACTTGGAGCTGATGGGTCCTGGAAAAACACACTGTTCCCCAATAAAATTTAAAAAAGAAACAAAAGTATGTATTTAATGGAAAAAACTATTGTAACAGGGAAAAATTGTACATTACCAGATTTATGCTATTGCCCTCTCCCCCACCCGTGGGAAGTTCTTTCCCTTCTTAGAGGGCAGCTCCCTTTTTTCAAGAAAGGATATAGTCATTTTTTCAACAAACTTGTCTTTCTCATCCGTGGCAGCTGGGAAATTCTGAACATCACGTTCCACGTCAGAAATTTGTTTCTTCATCTGATCTAGATTCTTTTGCAAGTTTTCAGCAGAAACTAAAAGAAAAACAAAAACAGACAGCAAGTGCTTACTAAATCCAGTCTCCAGACCCATAACATCTGCCGTTCAGGCCCAGCTCCAGTCTGTACATACTGCTGGTACTTAATTAGCTTAGTTCTCCAAGTACTCTCGTTGTTTCACACATCTTTCCAGTGAAACTGTAAATTACTTGATGATTGAGCCTCTAGTTCCCTCCACAAGTTGTACAGTACTGAGAAGAGAAGCTTCATTTAATTTAACAAGAATCTATGAACTCCCCTGGGATCTTACTCTTATTTTACTTTAGAGAACAGGGTTTTTGGTAGGAAGGAGACATGCATAGAAATATAGAGGCAGGGCAGAAATCTGTTCTCGTTTCTACTGAATGATGCTTTTTCTTTGCCTAGTTCCAGGATGGTGAGGCCTGGTTTTTGTTAATCCAGTCTATGCTTTCTGAAAGAGAATCACCGTCGCCCTAGACTAAAAACACCTGCCTTTCTTCCAGTTGCTTTTGGTGTTTGATGTTTCCCTAGGAAGGGAAAGAATGTTTTCCACTTTCCACATGGAGGCCTCGCTTCTGCCTGATGCTGTTCCCTTGTGGCTTAGACATCACGCCTATACCCTCTCTCATTCCCACTTGAAACCGTCTGAACTGAAAATGATCTCAAATCTAGACCGTGTCCTATTTTCCTCCCCATGCAGAGATCTGTGGGGCTTTGGAAACGCCTTCTAGCTACACCCCAACCTGCCCCACCTCGGCTGGCTTTCTCCACATGGGCGAGCTCATCTGGAAACTTGAGGACATCAGGATAGTCATTCTCACACAACTCAGCCAAGAAGTGCAACAATGTCATCTTCTGATCTGCGGACTTGGTATCTCGAAGCTTGGGGAGGAGGAGAAATTGTTAGTCCCGACGCACCCAAGATCACCTCAGGCCAACAGCAGTTTGCCACAGCGGGCTCGTAGAGGCCAGCAGCCTTCCCTTCTGTCATCCTGCCCTAACCCTCTGGCTCACCTTACAGAGGAAGCTGATATTGAAGCCAAAAGCCCCCGCATTCCTGGAGCCAGCATTCATGTAGTTGCCGACAAGCAAGGTAATCTCCAGAAGGCTGGAGAAGTTCTGGCTCTTTCGCAACTCTTCACATGCGGCTGTTACAGAAACGATCTCTGGCTTGATATTCTCCACTTGCTCACTGAACTGCAGCCTGAAGAGGATGGCATTGAGGCGAGGCCGCAGGCGGGGCACAGTGCCCATCTGGGGGAAAGAGACACCGTGAAAGCCAACATGGACTGAGAAATAAGAAAAAGGAAAGATCCAGGCTTGAGCCTCCCATGGGAGGATCTGAGTTCCAGAGTAGGAAGGAGACAGAGAAAGATCAAATTCGTAACAGGATAAGATGCAAGGAGCAAATGCCTGGCTGCTCTTGGGAGGAAGGAACACAGGGATCGGAGATGAGCCTTGTGCCACAGGCCTACTCACCACCACGCCAAACTGCTCGGACTCGGCTAGATCGTTGTATTCGTCCTTCAGCTCGGAAAGCATTTTTAACTGCTCTGGCTCTGGCATCTGCTTGATGAGGTTCTGAAAGACAGAAGGGACCGTCTCAGGTGGAGGAGGATGAGGTGACGGCTTGAGCCTCCTGTCGGTCCCTCACTCTGCCCAAGGACCACTAAGAAGGAAACATGGGCAGGGGAGTGAGGGGTGGGGGCAAAAGCAGCTACTGACATGGCAGGACTTTTGAAAACTATACCACAAATAGCCTGACTACCAGAGAGAGGGAAGCTTACCCAAAGCTAGCATTCTTTAGGTCAATAATGCTACAGGAAAATCCTCATCCTCTTAGCGGAGAGGAGGAGAGGCTAGTGGACAGCGATGCAGGGCCAGCTCCCACAGGATGACCTTGCTCCTTACCTGGATCATAGACTCAGTCAGAACGGCCTCATTCACCTCCAGGATGACATTCTTAATCTCTTGGTAGGGCATGCGGAAGGAACCCAAAAAGATGGCTGCCAGAAAATGAGATACAAAGACATGTTCTTCTCAGTCTCTTCCTGCTTCCAGCCCATCCTACACACCTATGCTGCACCATTTTCCTAAAAGTGCTCTTTTAAAGTCACTATCAGAAACCTCCACCAGCTCCTCACTGCTGATACAGTGAAAATCCAAGTTCCTGAGTCCAGTTAAGGTTTTCACCTCCCAGCTTTCTTTCTCATTATCCCCACATTTATGTCACATGCCAGCCACATTGTTCCAGGCACCATGTTCTACAAACACTGTTGGCTCCGCCTTTGCTCCCAGGAAGTCTTTGATCTTCTCTCTCTCTCTCTCTCTCTCTCTCCACACACACACACACACACACACACACACACACACACACCCCAAAGATGTTCACCCCACTCTATTTTATTCCCCACTCCCATGACTCCATCCTCAAAGCTACCATTGCCTAGAAGTGCTCTGATCTTAACTGCCATATCCCATTTCCTAACAAACACTTCCTGTCCTTCTAGCTCTCTCACAAATATCTAAATTGGCTCTTCAACCTCATCAGAGAGAGATGGGTCTCTCTCTCTCTCTCCCTGGCAAGAGTGCTGACCATTCCATTTTCTCTGAATGTATCCGCTCCACTTTGCCTTCTCTATTTAATCTAGACTCTACAATCTATCACTTCACTCTCTCCTATTACTCCCATTCCTACCCCTACTTCTATTCTCTCGTTTTCTTCTCCTCCAGGCCCCGATTAATCCAGCCCTCTCATTTCTCCCCTCTTACAGTAAAAACTGCAGATCGGAATCTACGACTTTGTGCTGGCACCAGTGAGAGCTGGGGTCTCAGTGCTGCCTGCTAACCCTTCTAGTGTCCCTCGTCCATGCTCTCCAGGCTGCCTTTGCAGCTCTGCCAAAAGATCCCCCTTCTCCCAGCTGTTCCATCACCTCCGCATTTGTTCTAAGATCTTGCTGAGAAAAACTGAAGCCGTTGGTTAAATTACTTGCTAAGCTTTCTCTTATGCCACTTACAAATTGAGCATTAGGGGCCCTCAGTTGGAGCCAGACAAGAAACGGCTTGGGTAAGGACTACTTTGGAATCATCTAGAAGAAAACTTGCGCCAACATGTCTGTAAACTTATCAGCAACTATACCCATGTACTCATCCTTTCCTCATGTTTCAGCAGAACAGGTGGCCCTAAGGACCTTTCCCTTCAGCATATATACATAATCAAGTTTCTCCTATCTTAAGAAAACAAAAACAAAAACCTCCCTGACCCAATATTCCTAATTATCAACTTCCTTCTTTCCTTCACTTTATTGTCTACTCCATGTGAAATATAATACTTAACCACAATCTACATACATAATCTCATTTAACCCTATCCACAATATCCTATAAGTTTGTATTCTTAGCCTCATTTGACATTAAAAGAAACTAATATATACTTCAAGAAGTTAAGCTAGGGCCGGCCGAATGGCTCAGTTGGTTAAGAGCTCGCTCAAGAGTTTGAGCTCTGAGCAACAGCGGTTCGAGGCCAGCCCGAGCTGAGCAGCCGCTAAGCTGCCAATAGGTAGCAGGATGGCTCAGCTAAAAAAAAAAAAAAAAAAAAAAAAGAAGTTAAGCTACCCATCCAAGGTCACAGTGCTACTAAAGGTTGGGGCCCGGATTAAAATATTATACAAATGGATTCCAGAGCCTCTGTTCTTAGCGCCTATGTTACACTGAAATTATTCTTGCCTCGGCTACTGATTTTCTAATGCCAAAGCCAAAATATACTTTTCCTATCCTGATTTTACTTGACTCTTGTCTTCAACTGATACTATGGGCTACTCCCACTTCTTAGAACCATTTCATACTATATTTTTATTGCTGCTCCTTTTCTTTGCGGTCTCCCTCCCTCCCCTTTTTTTTTTTAAACCATTTTTTTTTTAAAGATTTTTATTGGGGAATTGGGGGGATGGGAACAGCACTGGGGAATTGAAGGGGAACAGACAAGTTGCTGTCGTTTTGTTCATCAGTCTAGTTGTGGGGGACATTGCTTCACTGGCCCAAGTTGGCACCATCATTGCTCTTCCTGGGCGAGGCAGATCAGTCGCCGGCTTCTGGACAGCTGCTCACTGCGGCTGCTGCCCGCTCACGCTGGCTGCTGGCTACACACAGTAGCCCATGGCAACCCACTGCAGCAGGGGCTGCAGCCTACGCCTTCGCCGGCGACTCACAGCAGCCCAGCTCCAGGTTGAGCTGTTGTTCAGCATCTTAGCTGTGGAGGGCAGTGTCACTGGCCCTCATATGTGGGATCCGAACTGGGGCTCTCTGGCGTCCCAAGCCAGTTCTTAACCATCGCGCCACTCGGCCAGCCTCTCCCTCCTTTTTTACTTGCCCATTAAATATCAATGGCCTCCAAAGCAATCTCATGGCTTTAGTTATGACTCATATGCTATCTCCAAAATTCATATCTCCAACCAGACCTTCCTGTTGATGTCTACACACAAATGCCTAATACACCCATCCTTTTGGAAGAGTCCCACAGGCATCTTAAATTCTATCCTAAATGAAGTCATTCATTTCTACCCACCACCCTGCCATCTCTCACCTATGTCCACCACCTACCACTTCTCCCACAAAAGACAGAGAATCTGCTCCTGCCAAATTTTCCTTTTCACTAAATGGTACCACTCTCTATAGAATGATCTAAACCCAAGAAAACATCGCCTTAATCCCCTTAGTCAATCACTAAATTCTACTGATTCTATCTGATTATCTTCTGCCTTCCTATTCATTCTTACTATAATCTCAGGCCCTGATCATCTCTGACCTAGTTAAAGCAACAAAATAACTCATCTCTCTGCCTACAGTCTTCCCCTGTCCTAGCAATGTAGCCTCAAAATCACTGCTGAAGTAGCCTCCCCCAAAATCACATAGGGTTGTATCATTCACTTTCCTGATTAGAATCCCTTCAATAACTTCCACAGCTTTCAGGATCAAATATATACTTCTTAGCCTAAGCCCACCAGAATTTGTTATGACCTCGCCTCTATCTATTCCTTGAAAGCTTCTTCTCCCCCCACGCCCCCCACACATGGACTTTACTCAGCTGTACTTAACAACTTGCAGTTCCAGAACTGTATGATGTTATCTCATGCCTCTGTGCCTTCATACAGGCTGATCCCTCCGCCTGAAACGAGCCAGCCCTCACCCTTCACTTAACTCACTATTAATAGTTCTTTCAACTCAGCTTAAGCAGTACTTCCTTTAGAATGATCTCTAGGAAGTGCTCCCTCCAATATGCCCCCCCACTTGATTTAGATGACCCCTTTCCTAGTGCTCTCATAAGCATCCTAGTACTTACCTCTCTGTGCTATTGCCATTATTTATTTTTCTCTCTCCACCAGACGTATGGTTCATGAGGATAGGGACTATGCCTCACTCAGTTTTGTATCCCCAGCACATAAAAGGCACTTAATAATTTATGAATCACTAAATTACATCTCCTAGACCATCCTACCCTAAACTAATCTCAATTCTTTTCCTGGTTTTCATATATCGGTATCACTCAATTGGAAATAATAATGCACTACCCCCCCCATCTTGTGTCATGTTCTAAAATAACAATTACTGGGCCGGCCGAGTGGTGCGTTGGTTAAGAACTGACTTGGGATGCCAGAGGGCCCCGGTTTAGATCCCACATATGAGGGCCAGTGACACTGCCCTCTACAGCTAAGATGCTGAACAACAACTCAACCTGGAGCTGGGCTGCCATGGGTCGCCGGCGATGGAGTAGGCTGCAGTCCCCTGCTGCATTGGGCTGCCATAAGCTACTGTGTGTAGCCGGCAGCCAGCGTTGAGCGGCCAGCAGCCACCATGAGCGGCTGTCCAGAGGCCGGCGACTGATCTGCTTTGCCCGGGAAGAGTGCAATGATGGTGCCAGCTTGGGCCAGTGAAGCAACATCCTCCACAACTAGACTGAAGAACAAAACGATAGCAACTTGTCTGTTCCCCTTCCCCCGATTCCCCAGCGCTGTTCCCCTCCCCCAATTCTCCAATAAAATCTTAAAAA